TAGAAGCTGAAATGTCCTCTGTCATATCCTCACACACATTAGATCAAAGATGTCTAACGGTCTCCCAAAATGATAAAACTTCTGCAGAAGGAATCTCCCACCAGCTCCCCTCAGGATAGGAAGAGAGTCTCAGAAATCAGCAACTCAGTATTCTTCAGGCTGTTGGAATAATCTCAATCATGCGAAATGAAAGACAGCTGGGGAAAAAGGATAAGAAAGTCCACAAGGGGTAGGTCAAGGGGAATTTAATTTTTAAAAAACTTTTGTGACTCTGCCATTTTGACTGGACTGAAAAATCTATAATTTGCAGAAAATTGACTGCAGAGTAGAAACACCCTGGAGAAAAGATTATGTGTATCAGATTTCAGAACAGAACTTAGTGGAATGAGGCTTTGGGAACTGAGACCCAGTGCTAAAAGCCATTCCTTGACAATCCATCTTCTCCTGCCCTCGCTGATGCTCCCCTGGGAACTCTGGCCCTGCTTCCTTCCATACTGAGCTTCATTCTTATCCACGTATAATATCAAGGCTGGGTCAGACCAGGCAGGTGAGTGGCCAAAGAACACAGAAACAAAAATCAGTGCATGGCTGTTTATCAATTGTCCCAAGGAAGCTCCTACACCTGCCCTTAGTGACATGCAAGGCCCAGTGTCCTCCCTGCAACCAGGACTTACTCACAGCAATGCCAGGTTGAGGCAAGAGAACAGGGAGATGGGTTTTCAATGGTAACTGTTTATATTTGTTTTAAATACAAGATTGGGGGGGGCAGGGAGGAGGACTTTGAAAATGAGGTGGGGAAGCAGTGTCCTAGCCCTCCACAACCGAGGTATCACTTTCCAGACCAGAGTCAACACTCAATCTCTTAAGGGCACAAGCTACCTAGGACAGGGCTTAGCTGGGTCGGCTGCACTAACGCAGAGACATACAGTAGTGCCAGCATTGCACAGCTTCCTTTTAGAAGTAAGGCCACTCTGTTTGCCATTTTGATAAAACAGGAGTGTTCCCATCTGTGACCTCCACTGTATTCCCACCCATTCTTACAATATTCCAGAGAAACATCAGGATTTGCTATGATGACCACTTTTATTTTTGTGATTAATTAGAAATCAATTGGCACACAACTGTGCACACTTATAAGTACGGTATGCTAATATAGTACAGGTATATATCAATGTATAATGATCAAATCAGGGTAATTAGCCTCCTCAAACATTTATCATCTCTCAGTGCTTAACCTTTCTTTAAATGAGTTAATTGCATGGCCTGATTGTAAAAGGAGGAAATGTGGCGAATACATTCCTAAGTGCTCTCCCATGGCTTTGCTCAATGCCTTCTACAAAGTGGGCACTCCCAGTGGTGAGTTCAATAAGTAAATGGGATTTAAAAAGTGAAATTTTAGATATTTCTGTAAATGCAACTCTTAATTGGAGTTCAAAAAAAAATCTAAAGGTCTCTAGTGATACCCTTCAGAAAACAGGCGTTTTTTTTTTTTTTATGAAATGTCTGAACTCAGCACGGTAATCGTCCTGTTACAATTTTCCTGGAAACCAGCCCCCTTTAAAAACCACTTGCCATGTCAGAGACATTGCTGGAAAGCAATCAATTTTTGAGGGCCAGGGAGGTGGGTACAGGAACAGATATCTGTCAACCTGTCCATGACACATATTTCTCTCTGTAGAATGGCATGGTGGGGTAAAATGTCAGCCCTTGTGTGTGTATTAGTGTGTGTGGGGGGGCGGTGTTGAAGCAGGAGAATCAACTCAGGTTCAAAGCCATAGAGCTACACAGGAAACAGCTAGCCAATCAGGGCCACAGAGGGAGATGCATTAAAAAAAGAAAAAGGAAAAAGAAAAAAGAAAAAGGGAAATGTTGACACCTGTGTTTTTGTTTTGTTCCTCACAGGTCCCAGGAAAACTGTCATCATCTCCCAGAGTTCTCAGAACTCCAACTAACTCAAGGATCCCATTGTTATGGAAGGAGCTGGGTTTAGTGTGGATCATACTTATTCTTCCCTGCCCTAAGTCGATGTAGAGTCTTGGGTTTGTCCATTCCTTCAACAAAAGTTACTCAATTCCTATTGAAGGTAAGGCAGTACACTAGGTTCTGGAGGTACAGTCAAGTTCAACTCCAGCACAGGATACCTGATAGTCAGAGGGAGAGAGACCTGGGGACAAGGAGCATAGGGAGAAGTGGATGCTATGTGCATCAGAGGGTGAGAAATTCCTTGGGAGAAAAGAGTAGCAAAGAGGAAGTTAGGGGCTGGAACTTAGCTCAGTGGTAAAACATTTGCCTAACAGGATCTTTTGTTCACAGCAGTGAAAAGAGATGGGGGAGGGGTGATAAACAGAGTAGACTGTAGCAAGGTTTGGGAAGAAGCAACTGAAGTGGTGGTGTTTGAGAAAACAAAAGAAAGCAAGGGAACCCATCATGTGGCTTTCTAGGTACATGCAAAATCCCAGGTCATTCTTGCGCAACATGTGTGGAGAACATCAAGAGAGCAGGGAGCAGAGCCAGAAAGAAGATTGCAGAGGAATGTAAGAGAGCCTAAATGTAAGTAGGGAAGGGACTGTCACTGCCTTCAGCTGTAGATTATCTGGGAGACCAGGGCCCCCAGAAGGGGAGGGGTTTGAGCATGGGGCACTCATTTTCACATAGGTCAGTCTGGCTGCTGTGCTGAGAACAGACACAACTAGGGAAGAAAAGGGGCAGAACAGGAAGGCTGGCTGTAAGACTATACTGAGTGAGGTGAGACAGGCAGACTGAGAACAGGGAGAATCATGGGCTGGTGAACAATGCGCAGATCCAGGATCTGCTTTGAAAGGTGAGCTACCAGAATTTGCTGAACTGGGCTCCCAGGTCTGAGCAGATGGGCCAGTGTTCAGCCAGATAAAGATGACTTTGGAAGAGGCAAGAATAGGAGATGTGGAATGAGTGTCCCGGAGGATGTAGCCAGCCTTCCCAGACACCATATCTAGACGTAAACAAAGGAGGCCAGGAGCAGGGCACACATGAGCAGGTCGGCTGTGTTGTTTAACTCCTACATGGGACTATCTCCAAAGCTCCACATTATTGTTACAGATAGCTCAGTGAGAGGGCTCTTCCATACCAAAGTATGCCCCTAGCACCTGCTTTAACTTCTCAACTATCCATGGGTTCCTGAGAAACCTCACCTTCCAAGGGCCACCCAGTAATCTGCTCTGCCTCTGCTATTGCTTCTCTTGACACTGCGCTACAAGATGGGCTCACCTCAACTTATCAGTGTCCTATATTTGTGCCCCTGACTCAAGAACCAAGCAAGAGGCCAATCCACAGTATTGGTCCACATGAATTACCAGACAAATATTTCCAAAACTCAGATGAGTTTAATTCCTTTAATGTTCTCCTCTCAGCAACAACAACAACAACAACAACAACAAAAGGAGAAACTAATCAATTTGTCAACTGATGCGTATTTGAAGAGAAGTTTAAGGAACTGTGTAACAGGGCTGCACAAAGACCATTTATTACCAACTCTGCAGGCTGCTGCATCTATAATAAGGCAGTGATTGAACAAAGGCCATGGCTGCATCTGTCCCTCATTTCTAGAAATAAAAAGTCACCTATAGATGCAAAAATCAATTGAAAGCAAAGTGTTGTCTTTGATAGACAAGAATCTCCAATTAGAAAATGTTTAACCTTTGCAATCCATATCGCTTTGGTGAATTATATAACAATACTAGCATCAGTATTGTTAAATCAGTTCAGAGGAATTTTATTTTAATTTGCCATGGCCTAAAGTAATGATGTTACATAGATATTTACATTTGAGAGAAATCTAGACTAATTAATGGAGTTTCAAATATAACATTTTGCAATAGGACAAAACCCTAATTTTAAAAATTCACAAGATATGCAAGTGCATCAGCACACATGGTAATGTTTGACTCTACTCACAGAGCCTGGGATTAGGAGTTCAAAGACACCCTGAAATACATAACAATGCCCTGTCTTAACATGAAAGAAAAGGGGGAAAGGAAGTGAAAAGAAAGAACCTAAAAGAAGAGGAAGAAGAGAGGAAAAGAAAGAGGCAGGAAAGGGCAAGAAAGGAAGATACAGAGAGGAAAGGAGTAGCTGTAAAATAGATGAGAGACAGAGAGGGCTGTGGTTGTAAGAATCATACATGCACAAAATTACAGTGGCATTCAAAACTCCACCTAAATAAGAGACTGACAGTTTGAAACTCAGATTCTAATATTTACAATTTGATGGAACTGATACATATTGCAATTAAATGATCTAGATTAGAAATCTGAATGTCAAATAAAAATTTAAGAATAAAATACCAGATGGATATCCTTTTTTGTTTTTTTTAAATACAAAACGCTAGCAGCCAAAGTGTTTTCTGGTTTGGGGGAATTGGGGATTCTGGAGTAGTTTGCATAGATTTTTCCAAATGAACATCCCCAATCTGAAAATTCCAAATCCCAAAAGCCCTCAAAATATGAAACATTTTTAATGTCACTCTGATGATCAAAATGTTTTGTGCTTCAGGGGATTTTCTGATTGTAAGCTCTCAAAACATGGATGCTTAACCTCTGTATGCTTTCAAGACTCTTGAAGAATGTCAGTCCACAGCATAGAGTGTGGACACCCTGGTTAAGTATCCCTTGGTTCCCTTCGAACATGCAGCTCTGAAGCATAAAGACAACAGGAGAGGCTATAACACAGGGCATCGACCTTGAGACGTGGCCCTGCATCTGACTATTTCTCTGGCATGCAATGTTTTAAAATGTCCTGAGATCATCCAGCAGTACAATACAAGCAAGCATAGAGTCATGCTGGTGTCAGGCGCTCATCCTTGGTTCCATCCTATCAAACATGACATCTACATGCATTTCCTCCAGCACGCTCAGTTGGCAGGGTCAGAGCACCAGTCTCGGCTCTCCTAGAAACTTCTTTCCATGTAGTTTGAGCACATGCACAGCGGGCAAGAACAGGCAGGTAAGTATATCTGAACTTACCATTTGTAGCCAAATGTTGGTGGTTAAAACTTGATTCTTCTCATCCTTAAAAATCAAAAAGAAATGGGTAACATAAATATGGCTTATGTGCTTGACAAAAGAAGCCACGATACAATTATTCATGTACAAATCTGACTTTGGGGATCAACGTTGTGTATGGAAATTAGAATGCACCAGGCACTCCCAAATCTATGCCAGTAATATTTCCCCAGAGTCAAGCTTTTCTATTTATTCTGAAGTAATACACATTCATTACAGAGCACTTACAAAGGACAGCACAATATAAAGAAGAAAATTAAAATCAGGCCAGCCTACCATCAGAAATGATGCTAGCTAAGGCCTTGGCAATTTATCTTTCTATACCAGCCCCCACCCCAGAAAGGGGCATGTCACATGGACCTCCTGACCCATATTAAGGGTCTGAATGGGCCGCTGTATTTGCTTTATCCCTGCACGGGTCTTGGCTCTTTCCTCTTTTCTATCCAGCTGGCAACATGTCTGACACTTGACACCTCTAAAGTAAACACAAACAAGAGAAGTAAACAAAGGACTGGAAAGATAAGACAATCTTACAATGGGCCCAACACACTTCTATCTTTCTGATTTCAAAGTCCAGTTCTTCATTTCCAAAATAGGATCTAGCCAGGAATGGAGTCCACACACCACCCAGGAGTTTGGGAGAGTACAATTACCATGGCTTGATTTAGGCACGGTGCATCTCCTACATTTGAGTTTTGTGTCCTAAGTCTCCCCGAAGGGCCCACATGCAAAAGGCACCAGTACCATCTTGGGATTACTGGGAGATGGTAGTTCAAAATGGGTCAATGGGGAGGTTCTCAGGTGAAGTAGAGCATGCACTTTCCAGACAGGTTAAGACGCCAACCCCTTCTTCTTCTTCCCTTTCCTTTCCTTGCCATGAGTAAGCAGTTTTCCTCTGCCACTGGCTTCCACCATGATGGGCTGCCTCACTGCAAGCCAAAAGCAATGGAAACAACTATTCACAGACTGGGGTCTCAAAAACTGTGAGGTGACCTTTTTCTCTTAATAAGTTAATTATTTCAGGTGTTTATCCCAGTGCCAGAAACCCGATTAGGACAGCATCTAAAAGAGTCTCATTACATGAAATATTCCCACTAGCCCTTTTTTCATAGCTAGCCACACCCAGCAGTGTCAGCAATGGGTCTGGAAAGTTCACTCAGTGGTTAAGGACTCTGGATTCTCCTCTGAAAGACTCTGGTTCCATTCCCAGCACCCACACAGCAGCTTGCAACCATCTGTAACTCCAGTTCCATGGGATCCGATGCCCTCTTCTGCCCTCTCTGGCATACAAGTGGTACACATATACACATGCAAACATGACAAAACACCCTTTAACACATAAGAAAAAAATTTCAATAAAAACGTTTAAGGCGACAAGTTATACTGAGAATGATGTCAGTCAGTTAGGAATCCTTAATTCCAACTTAAAAGTCTCTGAAAACTAGCAACCAATACCCTCCAGGGAAAGTATTCATGAAAACCTGCCCAGAAGTGGACACCTTTAATTCTTGTATCTGGAATTGCACTGGCTGGGTTCACTGACAAACACACACTCAAAACTGATCCCAAGCATAAAAGCACAGGGTTGCAGTCAGTGGCTGGGAATTCACATGAGCACTGAACACTGCCCCTTACAGAAAAGAAGATGTAGCCCACATATAAGGAATTAGCAGCAAGAGTTTGATACATAGATGCCCCTGTGCTCAAATGCCCATCTATTGAGTGCCGCTGAAGGTGTGATGGGCAAGTCTGAGCAACTATGAAAGAGAAGACTGGGCTGTGTGTGGAGGGACATAGGACAAAGCACCAGGGTATCCCCAAGCCAGGACTGACATCCAAAAGAAACTATAGTTTGTTTGTTTGTTTGTTTTGGTTTTTGGTTTTGGTTTTGGTTTTGGTTTTGGTTTTGGTTTTTCAAGACAGGGTTTCTCTGTAAAGCCCAGGCTGTCCTGTAACTCACTCTGTAGACCAGGCTGGCCTCAAACTCAGAAATCCGCCTGCCTCTGCCTCCCAAGTGCTGGAGTTAAAGGCGTGAGCCACCACTGCCCGGCTTAAACTGCAGTTTGATGGAGGCAAGAAATACAACTACTTTTCTAAAGTAAAATGTGCCACAATGTTTAGTGAGTCGTCACTGCCACAGGTTAACATGTCCCATGCTCTATGCTAAGTAAACGCTCCCTGCCAGAGCTATATAAACTACCATCGCAGCAATGCTCCCATTTCTGATCAATCACCAACATTACTGCAAAGCACCACTAAGCTCTTCGGCATGTGTATCTCTAAGTTCTTCAGGATGCGTATCTGTTGCCTCAAGTTATTAGGCACCTGTTGTTACTAATAGACTAAGAGTTAGGGAGAGTTCCATTCAGGTGCCTTTCCTTCTTTTAATTGCGTTTGTGTCTGCCTCTCCTGAGAGAGGCTTCTGTGGTTTGGGAGCTCAATTACTACCAATCTAATTAAAAGTCTTTCTTCTTTCCAGAGTCTGGACAGAAACCTCATTAGAGCGACACTGGATTTCCTTACTGTGTAGCAGCATGGGACCAAAGCACAGCGCTTCCAACTGTAATCAACAAGCAGCAGCCAGCCACCACCTGGCAGCACAGGGATGCCAGACAGAGCGGTTCACACCAGGCTGCAGAGGAAGCCCAGGGCCAGGCAGGATGCTGCCACTCTCCATTTGGATTGCCTCTTTTTCTGTTATCATGGGTCAGGTGGCAAAGGTCTCCCTTGTCTTTCCATCACAGTAGGCAGCCTCCTGCCCATACAGACACATGGGTGCACATGCAAACATATACATATGGCAGTTTGCTTCTACAGAGGCTTTCTGCTCACAAAGACGATCAGTGCACCACACAGAGGGTCAACCCACCAGCCCACAGTGCGTCACACAAGGCTTTTCTACAACTTAGGGTCCAGCCAAGTTGGCATTCTTTCAGGAAATATTAATGGACGATTCCCACTACAGTCATCATATTGAGGTGCACAGTGGTCACTTATCATTGCCCCTGAGCTCCTGAAACATAAGATGAGGTAGGGTTAAGGTAATAATGACCCATCTGTGCAATGGATAAGACGCACTGAGAGAAAAACCAAAGCAAGGCCCTTTAGAGAAGTTAATGAAGATGGATTGTATCTAGTGTAAAATTCTCTTTTATTATTAACTATTAACCTTTGCTTTTACATTCTAGGGTCTTTCAACAATACAATATGTGGCTCCTCTCATGTCTACCATGCATACCCCAGCCATGACCCCTGCTGACAGCCCTGCCTGATAAGGAACCATACAGGTAACCCTGTCTCCAAGCTTTCCTCACCCGAACATACGTGAAGTACAGTATCAGCAGACCTCAGCCTCCTGAGCTAAACCCAGCCCCAACCTTAAAGGGGTCTTATGGGAAGGCAGCATAAGTGAGCCTGGAGAAATAGCTCTTTTGCAAGACTGTGAGTTGTTTACAGGTAAATCCATCTCCTCTGCTTGAAAAGTTGCTCAAAAAGCAGTCCCAAAGTCATGTCTCTGCCCCTCTGCCCAGGCTCCACTCAAGCCTAGCCCACCTACTCTGCTTCCTGGCACAGCTACGCACAAAAGCAGGCCCCAGGTATGCCACCAGTCCTGAATTCTCTTCCTTGACTCTAGTTTGCACATTTCCTTGTTTGCCAGAGGAAAGAAGAGGAGACTAGGTTTCTGTGTTCAGAGACTCTGCAGATGGTACTCCATGTCCCTCTAGCCTCCAGCACAAAGATATTCAGGCAGGGCAATGCCTGCCTACATAGATGCCACTCACAATGCCAAGATGTACATGGGAATGAGAACCAGTTCCTCATGCCTTCTCTTCCCCATAGGTATCCTCCATAGATACCAGTCCCCCATGTAGCATATGAGCTTATTTAAACACCCATGTATCGGTGAATGTATCAACCAACTTTATTCCATCACAGCCTAGACACCACCTTAACCACACACTGGGAGAAGCATGATCATTCCAGCTTGGTTAGGGGTGAGTGTATTACTCTAACAACTGCATGCCACAGGTACCCCACAAGCAACACAGGCCCTGGGTCTAGGTCTGTTATAACAAACACTGTAAAGCAGCTGACTGTGATGACACATAATTGTAATCCCAGAACTTGGGAGGTGGAGACAGGAGATTCAAGAGTTCAAGTTGATACTCAGCTGAGTAGCAAGTTTGAGGCCGGCCTGATTTACACAAGACCCTGTTTCAAAAATAAATGAAACAAAACACAATAAGACAAAATTAACTAACGCTAAGAGGCAGCAACACTGCTAAAAACTGAAATATGGACTTTGCACACATCGTAAGCCACGAGGCTAACAAATGGCAAGTATTTGCTTCTCAGTTTAGAGGTAGGCTGTCTGAAGTCAATATGCTGGAGTGGTGGATCTGGCAGCTGGTGAGAGGGTAAGATTCATGGATGGATTTCTTCAAGCTACCACATGGTTCTTACTGCCGTGAGAAGCTGGGCAACACAGCAAAGACCATCTCAGCTTCCCACCAGTGTGTGCTACTCAGGGTTTCTGGGTTCTCTCCTGGGAAATGACAGTTACAGCTGCCACAAAGGCCTCCTAAGCTGGAGTAGTTCCATCTAGTCTGTGAGATGTCACTCAGTGCTATTAGTTGTCACGACATAGGTATCACCTGACCAAGCCCTCCTCCAAGACATTGGAGGCAGGATCACTGACCAACATGAAGTAGGCCAACCTGCCCCCAATGTTCGATTTTAAACGGAGCACATTGCTGAAGAGCATCCTTTGATTTGTGTGACATATTTTGAAAAAAAATCAATCTTTCTAAATTACGGTGCATCTAACGCTCAGTGTAACTGTTCTGATCGTACTTACTGTGCAGCCTTGGATTTCTACAGCCATTACTCTTCCAGAAGTTATGGGGAGATGTTATTCAATGGTATTTTATAAAACTCTGAGAAAAACCATATATCAGCCCTGTCTAAATCCTCATTTGCAGAAAAGATATAAATTCACATTTGGA